CGAACCCATTTAGGGTGTGTTAAAGGTTTGGCAAGCCCAAAAGGGGCTGTAGGGAAAGTAGGAAGTCGATTCGGACAATACATTTCAAAAGGGGTTTTCCCTAAAGGATTGACTATTTTGTGGTTCGATCGATTAATATCTGTTTTATGGGATAAGGAGATGACAACGTCATAAAAGGTCGATTCTAATTTCAGTGGGGTATAACATATCTGATAAAAATTCTCGAATCGAGATATTTGAAGACAGTGCAAGTGTGTACCTTTCTTCGCTTTCGATTTGTCCTGCAACACAAGAGAAGGACGAGTAGTCAGTTTTTGTTGAACTTCATCAAATGCAGCATGACTACTCGAGAACCAACCGGCCCACCATTGCGAAAAACCCACGGTAGACAGATAATTCGATTCGAAAGCATAAGGGTAAAAATGCAGCGGGATTTTTGGTAAAAGTTTAACAAGCTCCCGGCTAAGCGAAGATTCTGTTAATTTGGACCTTGGGGAAATATCGAGGGGGAAGAAAGGTAAAGACTGGCTCAGACCAAACTGCCTCGAAAAGAGCTGAGGGTAGTAAGTTATGAACTTAAAATCTTTAGCTTGAAAACCCGCCACCAATACGTCATGGGTCAAATAATTGCTCCATATATCTATTAATTCCGATTGTAACCCAGGAGTCAAAGCAGGAAACCTTGACTTAAACCAAACCGGTCCCCTAAGTTGACCACTTATTTGTCCAGAAGTAAAGGGAGCCAAAATCGAATCAAAAGTAAATCTTGTCAACAAAAAATTAAGATATCTACAATAGGCTGCTTCGTCAGGTTTTTGATGAGGATGACGAGAAGATAATCGAGCACCTTCTAAATCCATACTCGGGGGAATAGTAGACGATGGGGGAAGGATGCTCTCAAAAATGGAGTTTAACCATAACTGTATAAACCAAATGGGACCAGAAAAATTTCCCGATGCTTTAGGAGTATTCAAAATCTCGATAGCCTCGTCGAAAGTAGTATATACATGAGCCAATAAAAGCTTAGCTAAACATATCCTAGGCTGACCTGTATGTAGGAGATATGCAAGGTCAAATAGATGAGAAGAAATTTGGATGGATCGGGGGCAAAAAACATGGGTACATAGCCAATATACCAAAAAGGCTATGTGTTCTTCATCAGTCACATCTATCGAATCGTCATCGATGAAATGTTTCTCGAGAAAATGTCCATAAGCCTTCGATTCCCAATCGATTTTAGCCTTCAAAGAATTACTCGAAGGACACACACCCTTAAAATACTTTTCTCCTATAGGCTTCAACCCAGTAATAGCCGCGATTTCGAAAAGGGTAGGCGAAAGAGGACCACAGGGTAATTCCAAAGCGTGTAAATCCTTATTCCATAAATGAACAGTAGACAGAAACATGGCCATATCCAAATAAGATAAGTCACATCGGGATAGGTGCAAAAACTCGAAAATTCCCACACTCCTCCAATGGTCTCCGAACTTAGTATTAACCCTATTGAGCCATTTAATATACAAAGGTTTTTTAGAAGGAGGACCAGTCCTATATACCTTAGAGGTAAGATTTAAAAAAATCAATCCTGATTTCAGGGTGGTGAACAAGAGCTGAACTGGTTGAGAGGTTGAGAGGGGTGAAAATTCCATCTATAGGACGAAGAGGACCCCCGAAAGCAAAATTAATACCCTCAGCAGTATAAGGAACAAGTACCTGCGTTTCAGCAACCTTGCGGGAAGCTTCCTCCATCAAAGGGACTGGAGCGAACCTCTGATTGTTAATCTCCAGCAGATTAGAAGGCAATGAGGAAAGAGGTGGAACGGAAAAGTCAGAAGATTTTGACGAGGTGGCCATCTGAGTGAGTCTAGGAAAACAGAAAGAGAGGGATTAATGGATGAGGTAGCAAGGAGGAAGGCAAAAGCTCAAGGAAGACGATGAAGGTGCAAGTAGAAGGTAAAAAGTTCGCGTAAAAAATCAAAGTAAAGACCAAAAGAGAGGTTAAGGAGAAAATTGCCTAGGGAGTTGGAAGCGACGGAAGGGAAAGGTAATTAATGTAACTTGTACTGAAAGGCAACAGACTGACGAGATGGCGACATAAAGCAAAAGGGAAGACTAAAACCCTTTTAACCCTAGAACCCCAGAAACCCTAAACCCTAAGTTCTATGGGCCTCCAAACACTAAGGCGGGAATATTGAAAGAATATAAACAAATTATTCATATTCTTCCAAGGGGGCATTCTGTTAGTGGCAAACCGAGAAAAGCGATCGAAAATGAAGGAAAGAAATGTGACTCGATAAGGTAAACAAAATTGATGTCTGATTAGAAGCACGCAGCATCGAGAAGTATAATCGAGAATCGAGTAAATGATAACCAAAGACCTGTTATCAAATAAAAACTAAGTCATATGAGACCAAGGTCAAAAAAGAATCATAAGCAAATCGAAATTCTCGAAAATACAAAATCGAGAGTAAATGCGGACATCGAGATTCTACTAAATCGTGAAAAGAAGAATAAGTCAAACGCACGTATAGAGAACAATTTCAAAACCTGGGAGGAAGTTGAAGATCGTGAGAACGTGGGACCGTAGGAGATAAACTGCCATATGCACGTAGAACGTGGTAGCAGCCTTGTTAACTGCCCCTGGAAAGCTTGAACGACGTCCTATAAATAGAGCAAAGAAGAACAGAGAAAGGAGCAGAAATTGGCAGAGAACGGAATTAGTAGTGAAGAGTCTACCGGAGAAACGACGAACACCATGAAGCTTCTGGCAATCTGGATTTCCATGCTCACCGAGTATTTTTATCGCTTTCTATATTTTCCTTGGTAATTTATTACAATTTTAATTCAGCAATTTCATGTTTTCTGTACTTTCAATTCATAGTCATTTCAATTCAATGAAAGTTTAAGCTTATGCATTTAAAATTTCTAGTCATTTGTGTTTCCAAGTACATTTCGATTTCTTGTCATTTAATCTTTCTTTCAATTTCGATCTATTATCATCTTTATTTGCTTTGTTTTCGATTTCTTGTCGCTTACTTTTTCTCGACATTTCGATTTCTGGTCAATTACTTTTCCCGCACATTTCGGTTTCTTGTCAATTATTCTTCATGTATGTTTCGATTCCTTGTCATTTACATTTAATATAAATTTGGGGTTTTTGCACTTTACGTTTCCCTGCAATTTAATATTCTGTTTTCTTGATTCGACGTTTTACTGCTTTCGATGCTTCAAATATAAAAAATACCAAAAAACATTTTTGACATCTTCGATTCTCATACACGTTTTCGATTGAAAGTCAAACTGCTAGCCAAAGTAAAAAGAACTTGCGTGGTAGAATTTTGATTAAGACCAAAATACCCTTAAAATCGAGATCGATCGAAATTCGCGTAGAATAGATATATAAATATTTTTATTATATTTTAATATATTTTTATAAATATGATAAATACATATTTATATTTTGTTATATACATTATAACTTTATTAAATATAATATATAATAAATATAAATATATAATTTTATAAATATATATATATATATATATGATAATATAATATTTATATAATATTTAAGTACCGATTGACCATACAACAACTATCTTTTATCGATGACAAAATATACTTTAAAATACTATTTTGGATTTTTAAATCATGTATTAATGACTTTCGGTATTATAAACCACTAATCCAAGTAGATGAGACATTTCTATATGACAAATATAGGGACACCCTACTAACAAAATCTCTCTTTTCATGCTCTTCATAGTCATGTCTTCGATAAATTTCACCTTCAATAATTACAAAAATAACGGAGAGTATGTTGTTTGTTTCATCTTATGCAACAACTAATTATAGGATGCCCCTATATTTACCATATAAAAATGTCTCATCTACTTAGACTAGTGATTTACAATTCCGAAAATTATCAATGCATGGCTTAAAGATTCAAAATAGTCTTTTAAAGTATACATTGTTATTTGTATAAGATAGTTGTTGTGTGTTCAATCTAGTACTTAAATATTATATAAATATTATATTATCATATATATATATATATATTTATAAAAATATATTTTTATATTTATTATATATTATATTTAACAAAGTTATAATGTATATAACAAAATATAAATATGTATTTATCATATTTATAAAAAATATATATAAATATAATAAAAATATTTATATATAATTTTATATTAAAAATATTTTATATTATACTAATGAAAATGTATTTATCATGTTTCTATAAAAAAAATATTATTTTTACTTACAAAAGTTATTTTGTATTAAAAATATATTTAAATATTTAAATATTATATATATATATATATATATATTATAAAAGTATTTTAATATTATAATTATAAAAATATATTTTTATGTTATATAAAAAATTATATTTTATATTTATTTCATATATATATATATATCAAATTTTAAAAAAAAATATATATATATATATATATAATATTTATATATTTATATATATATATTTAATAAATATTATTATATTTTAAAATTCTATTAATTTTTGAAGGTTAGAATTCAGCTTCCGTGAGCCGAATTCTAATCATTCTTAAAAATCGTGCTACTGAATTAATTATTGTGTATAGTGTGTTATCCAATAATTTTAATTGAATTACATGCGAGATTGGAAAAAAAAATCTCAATCTGAACATCAAGTGACTAAAAAAAAGCAAACAGAAAATAAAATATATGTTATTATTATTAGCGTGCTTGATTGGAAGAATAGTATGCATATCATCACTTTTCAAAATTATCGTAAAGTTTTCCAACGTGGCATCGCGCTTTTACACTCTTGAAAGGCTAAGTACTAATCTGGTTTGGAAAGAAGACAAAAAAAGTACCATGTCACCAGCACGTTCCCTACACGCCTTTCTAATTTTGTTCGTCCACCATCCTCCAGAAGCTCAACCCTTTTTACTTAACCTTCAATTCTCCACTATCTCTTTCTCTCTCTGTTTGTGCCGTGAATAATGGACAACCCAATCGCCGGCGAAGATTTCAACTACCTTTCCGGCTTTGGAAACCACCTCTCCTCCGAAGCCCTTGCCGGAGCTTTGCCGGCGGGGCAGAACAGCCCCCTCATCTGCCCCTACGGCCTCTACGCTGAGCAAATTTCAGGCACCTCTTTTACCTCCCCTCGCAACCGCAACCTCTTCAGGTTAATCGCAACTTTTTCTTCTTTACCTCTTATTCAACTACATAATAAAATTGTTTTTTGGTTTGGTTTTGTTTGGTCTTTCAAATTATGTTTATTGAAATTTGTCATCACCATCCATCACAAATACCAATTTAGTACTGCTGATATCTTTTTGACAAATTACAAACTGTAGTGCACAATTGAAGTTGGTCTACAAATTTTTATGCTCTAAATCAATTAAAGCCCCAATACATCTCTATTTCTAAAATATGTTTTAACGAAATAGATGGATACATATATAACATCAGTTTGTAGAAGATATTTTGTGTGTTGATTGGTTTCTATCAAATTCTTTATTATGTCAAATTTCTCTCTTGTTTTTTTTTTCCCTCTCTCTCGTATTGTACAAGCAGTATTTGTCAATTGAAGATGTGATAAAATGAATCAATGTGTATAGTGTAAGGAATAACAGATTTTTACTGTCAATTATATATATAATCACTTGAAAACTTTTTAATAATAATTTTCTTATAATGCATGATTATTATCTTCTATAACTATTTATAAAGGAGATTTTTTTAACCAAAGAAAAAAATTTAATGAAAAAATAATTTTGATTTATATTATTTTTAAAATAGTAAAAATATAAGAAAAAAAATTTAAAGAATAAAAAAAGAAAAAAGTTAATTATACAAAAAATTAGGTGCTTTAAAACACCTATGTTCTTACTAGTTATTATAAAAGGTTATAAGTAATTGGTGGAAACATAAGTGTTCATATGTCCAATTTTTTTTATAATTATTATTTTTTAAAATATTACTTTAATTTTTTTTCATATTTTTACTTTTATATATATATATATATATATATATATATATATATATATAATATTTTTATATTTATCTCTGATTGTAACATCATTTTTGGTGTACATCTCTCCCTTACATAATTTATTACATGTCAAATTTCTCTGTGTTTTGCCTGTTTCCTCTCTTTCTCTCTCATTGTACAGAACTGCTGCATTTAGTAACTACTTCTCTGGTCTTTGATGGTTAAGTTAAGCCATTTTAATATATTTTCTTTTTCTTTTAGTTGGTTTTATCGGATCAAACCATCTGTGACCCACGAACCGTTCAAGCCTAGGGTACCTATTAACGGGAGAATTTTGAGTGAGTTCAACAACTCCAACAGTTCTGCTAACCCAACTCAGCTTAGATGGAAGCCCATGGATACACCTGATTCACCAACGGATTTCATTGATGGGTTGTCCACCATTTGTGGTTCTGGTAGCTCTTTCATGCGCCACGGATATGCTATTCACATGTAATTAATTGGTATCCTTTGATTAATACTACTCTTGTTTATCTAATGGTTTTTGTGCTAGTCAATCCTTTTTCTTTTGTCATTGATTTTTTTAGTGGGTGAGGTTTCTTAATCAGAATTCCATTATTTGTGAGCTTAAGTCTTTTTAATTAAGTATAAAAATGATGAAAACTTTCTTTCCAAGTGAGGATTATTATTAAAATTGGTGAGTATAATCCTCCCACTATATTATGTATTTGTATTTTTAGTTGATGTGAGATTTTATAAGGTGTATTTATCAAATGGTATCTAATTCAGTCTTATATAACTGTAATGATTATATATAATAATAATAATAATAATAATAATAATATAGTATTTCAATGAGATTTTATCAATTATATTGAAATCTCTTATCAAATAATAGTACAGTACGAAGGTGAGTCAATTTTGTAGGATTGAGTTAAGTATCAATCAAATTTTAATAAAAAATATGTGTATATATATGACACAGTAGGTCATTGTTTAATAACTATAGATGCAACCTACAATGACGAGATCTTGACTCTTGGTTGGAGTTTACATTTGGTGTATACGAAGGTTGAAAATATATGTAACTAAGTAACTAAATCCTTTATTCATGGTGACGGATGATTGCTTGGAGAGAAATCCATTCATTATATAGTTCCCCTGCTATATGGGATTAAGTTTGCATTTTTAGGAGTCGAGTGATTGACTAGTGTGAAGGAGGGGTGTTATCCCCTCTTTCCGTACTCACTACTAAGAGATAATGATGAATTACTAGGCTTTCCTGAGAGCCATGCCATCGTCATAGTGCATAGGGTCTCACAGTTATCCTGTACTACTTGTGCTGATTGGTGGGCTAGGTTGAAAGGTAGGGAATGGAGATCTGAGGTCTCAGTCTGAAACAATTACCGTTCTCTCAACAAGGATGACTTAAGGTAGCAATTTACACCGACTGAACAAAATGGAACAGAAACAGTTAGTTTTTAATCACTTTCTTCGTGTTTCCACCTTTTTAACCTTTTGTTTTTATTCGTAGAACAAATCTCATTTAGCATTTTGTACGGTTCCAGTCTGTCTTCTAAATACTATCTAATAAGAAGAATCAAGTATAGCTTCATCTTTTTGGTTTTTTTACTATCCAAATTAACTTGGTTATATGATATATGCTATTTTGTTTTTGTCCTAAGTAATGTCACCATGGACTGCTTTCTTAAATCCACATCTAGACATTATTTTTCTTTAATTTTGGTAGCCTATGCAAAATAATACTAATATTGGGTAGGCCATCGATGTTGATGCTAAGCTGCCAGATTTAGTATGATAAATTTAAATTTTGAAAGCAACATTAGCACTTTAATAAATGGGAAAATGTTATCACTCATAGGTACACTGCAAACAAATCAATGGACAAGTGTGCCTTTTGCAATGCCGATGGTGACTTCTTGATAGTTCCCCAACAAGGAAGTAAGTCACTATGACAATTTCCGTGATTGTTCAATATTCACTAAGAAAGTTGTGTTTGGGGTTAATTGCTTTTGTACTTGTGTGTATATAATTCTTTCTGGACCCATATAATTTCCCTGTTGATCTGTGGTCAATGATCTCAGGGTGCTTCTTTTTTCCTTTCCTGATTGAAGGATGCGTTTGGACAATAAATATTGTTTTTTTTTAAAGGACTGGTGCAATAATATTCTGAATGGCTATTTAAGGTTTATATTTTCTGTAATTTTTTTCATGGGAGCTGTCTTTGATTCTTGTGTATAATCTTATTATTATAAGGACAAACTGTTCTGACCATGTTTTTCTAATTCTTCCATGCATGAATTTCTGCTTTTGGCACTGTGGCTAAATAAAGTTCCATGATACTTAAGAGTATTCTCCAATGCTTCATGTGTGTCGTGGGTTCGTGGCTTTTCAGAAGTATACCTTTCCCTTTATTTTTATTTTATCTGCTGAATTTGTAGGACTCTTAATCACTACTGAATGTGGAAGGTTGAAAGTTTCCCCGGGTGAAATTGCTATACTACCTCAAGGTTTTCGTTTTTCTGTGAATCTGCCTGACGGTCCATCCCGTGGTTATGTTGCTGAAATCTTTGGTACTCATTTTCAACTTCCAGATCTGGGACCAATAGGTATCTTCTATTTTTTATACTTAAGAAATTTAAACTACTATATTTGTTACTTGAAAATTCGTGGTATAAAAAATGAAAAATGAGTTTTGTTGACATTTAAGGTGCTAACGGTCTTGCTGCGCCAAGGGATTTCCTTGTTCCTACTGCATGGTTTGAAGATAAATCCTATCCTGGATACACTATAGTGCAGAAGTTTGGTGGTGAACTCTTTGCTGCAGTTCAAGATTTCTCTCCCTTCAATGTTGTTGCTTGGCATGGTAATTATGTTCCATATAAGGTGAGTGGTTTTCTCTTCAACATCGTTGCCAGAGAGCGACTTATGATTACAATTATATTATATTCAGTTTGTTATGGGTTTAATTACTGTGAAAGAATTTATGCATCTTAATTAATTTGGCAACTCTTGTTTCCATGTGCAGTATGATTTAAGCAAATTCTGCCCTTATAATACGGTTCTTTTTGATCATAGTGATCCATCAATAAATACTGGTATGCATTTTTAAAAATGAAAATTTCCATAACCCGTTCTCTCTCTTTGTTCATAGAAATTGTTTTCTTTCTTTTTAGTTTTTTGACAACTTTTATGCTCATGCGCAGTGTTGACAGCACCAACTGACAAACCTGGAGTGGCATTGCTTGATTTTGTCATTTTCCCACCGAGATGGTTGGTTGCGGAGCACACTTTCCGGCCTCCATATTATCATCGCAATTGCATGAGTGAATTTATGGGCCTCATTCACGGTGGCTACGAGGTATACCATGTTAAAATTTGATTTTTAATCACCTTGTTGGAAGCACTGAATGATAGTTTGTAGTTTTAAATGGGAAAATATCAGGACTAGTTTTGGGTCAGTTGAGCCAGAATTTGGTCTTCTTTAGTCTATGCCTAACACATTTGTTCTTCAGGCCAAGGCTGATGGATTTCTTCCCGGTGGAGCAAGTCTCCATAACTGTATGACTCCGCATGGTCCTGATACCAAGTCATATGAGGTATGGTTTTTCCAAACAATCATGCCGACAATAAGATCACTAGTACAAAGAGTAAACCTCCATTCTAATGGGTGTTCCTGGGTCATGGTAACTCGTGAATCTGAACTAAACCGACCAACCCAAACACATTGGCTTGGATTTGAGAGTTGTTAGGGTTGAACCCTATTTAACTTGTTCAAATCTGATGTTTCGTTTTTCATTTATTTATTTATTCATTTTTTTTAATTTGTTAGAAAATTCTAAACAGTTTGCAAGGTTTTTGTGGCTTAATAGACCAATTCAAACTATTTTGGTTGATTTGGATAACATTTTTAACCATACTTGATTTTTGTTTACCCTTGATTTCACCAAATCTTCACTTTAATTATGTCATTTAATTTAATGAATGGTTGGACCCAGGTCCATCGTTTCCAACATTATATCCTTTTAAACACAGAAACTTCTTTTATAGCTTCATATTCTACATTACACATGAAAATTTTTACCACAGTGACGTGAGGACATGCTATTTGTCCTTTTCAGAGCAAAATGCTGTGAAAAATAAAGTGGAAAATGACTTCAATGAAATACTTTAGATAGATATCAGAAACACTAACGAGGTTGCAGGACCTAGATATGTGCCATTCATTAAAGAGGCAAAAGTTTTGTATTAGTGGATTCAATCTTCTAGTAACCTCTGAGTTGGCATTTGGTTTACAGGCTACCATTGCACGAGGGAATGACGCAGGACCTTCCAAGATCAAAGACACGATGGCTTTTATGTTTGAATCAAGTTTGATACCCCGGATCAGTCAATGGGCCCTAGAATCACCGTCATTGGATCGAGATTATTACCTGTGTTGGATTGGCTTAAGATCTCATTTTACAGCAGGTCCTGAAAACCCAGGCTTCCAGAATGGACAGTGAGGAGTGAAATGGGTGTTGAGGCCCAGCTTCCATTGTACCCCATCGGCTTGGACTTTGTTGTACATAAAAAATAAATGTAATTATAAAATATAAGAGAAATAATTCTTGTACAACAAATTGTACAAGGACGACGAGTCTAATTGGTTGCTTCAATTGAGTTGTTGTGTTCCATTTAGAAAGGAGAGAAAAATGTTGTAATGAAATGAATGATGGAAGGGAAAGGTATTATATTGTGAATTGCATGTGTACGTACGGTGAACAAAATTTCTCTTCTAAAAAGTGTGGAAAAAAGATGTTTCATTGAGAATATATGAATGATATATATGTTAAGATATGTTCAATTTTTATATATGAGTTATTCTTTTTTTTTGAAATTCTAATTTGTTATAGATTTGTCTTTAAAATTTTAAAATTTCTTTGGTGAATGTATATAAATTATCTTTGATGTTGACTATTAAGTGATATAGGACTTATATGTGTATCCATCGATCGAAAATTAAGGAATATAAGTGGAGACTAAGAGATATGAGTGAAGTGATATTTTGTTTTTGATCCCATGAAAATTGTTACTATCTTAAAAAGGTGTTTTAATGGGATAGAAGGAGATGATGGTGTATACCTTTGAGTGCGAACCCAAACTATTCTTAGTCTCACGTTAGGGGTCGATATTTTAGTATAGGAATGATAATGTCTTGATTTCATGGATTGATATTTTTGTATAAGAATGATAGTGTCTTGGTCTCATGTGTTGATATTTTCATATAGGAATGAGAATATTTTGGTCTCATATATGATATTTTTGTATAGAAATGAGAATGTCTTAATTTCATGTTCGATATTTTTGTATAGGAATAAAAGTATCTTTGTCTCATGTTCGATACCCGATATTTTCATATAAGAATGAGAATATATTGATCTCATGTTTAATATTTTTATATAGGATAAAACTGTCTTGGTCTCATGAATGATATAATAATATTATTAACATCAATTTTCATATCTAAAATATTGTTCATTTTAAAATTTTAGTATTTTACGATTTTGTCTTTCAAAAATATTTCATTAGAGTTAAAAAAGAAAGATTTATATAAATTTTAAAAGGCATATAAGAATAGTTTATAATTTTTAATATAATACGATTTTTTTAAATGATGTATAAGGAAAATGTATATTTTAAAAGTTTAATACTTCTTTGTACTTTAATTTAATGGATATGAACTATGAATAATATAATTATATGTGAATTAAAATTAAAATAAATACATACCCATTATATAAAAGTAATTTAATTGATATAAATAATATACAAATAACAAATAAACAATACAAATGTATATAATTTAAAAAGTATTATAGTAAATAAAAATAATTTAATAATGATATACGCATAATTCTTAATAAGAAATAAAAAATTACTCAAAATAATAAGAAATAAATTAATTTAATATAATGTGAAAATTCATCCATAACATAAAAAATCCTTTCCCCATAGTATGTAACCTGAAGAAACGAACAGGGGACACAGGGTTTTGGGGGCTTTGGTTTTGTTTAGGGTTACGTTCTCGCAAATCTCAAAGAGGAGAAGGCAAAAGGAGAAAACTCATTCAATTTCTCCCCAATCAATCAAATTCTTCATTCACATTCAGGTAGTGTTTTTCATTTTGTTATCGGAGATGGCTCGAAACGAGGAGAAGGCACAGTCGATGCTGAACCGCTTCATCACGATGAAGGCGGAGGAGAAGAAGAAGCCGAAGGAGCGGCGTCCGTTCCTCGCCTCGGAGTGCCGCGACCTCTCGGAGGCTGACAAGTGGCGCCAGCAGATCATGCGCGAGATCGGGCGGAAGGTGGCGGAGATTCAGAACGAGGGTCTCGGGGAGCATCGTCTGCGCGACCTCAACGATGAGATCAACAAACTCATTCGGGAGAAGTCCCACTGGGAGCGCCGCATCGTGGAGCTCGGCGGGCCCAATTACGCGAAGCACTCCGCCAAGATGACGGATCTCGATGGCAACATCGTCGATGTCCCCAACCCGGGCGGCCGCGGCCCCGGCTACCGCTACTTCGGCGCGGCGAAGAAGCTCCCCGGCGTCCGGGAGCTCTTCGAGAAGCCCCCGGAGCTTCGCAAGCGGCGCACGAGGTATGACATTTATAAGCGGATTGATGCGAGTTATTATGGTTACCGTGATGACGAGGATGGCGTGCTGGAGCGGCTGGAGGGGCCGGCGGAGGAGGCGATGCGGCGGGAGGCGGCAGAGGAGTGGAGGAGGTTGGATGAGGTGAGGAGGGAGGCGAGGAAGGGAGTGAAAAGTGGGGATGTGGTGGAGGTGACAGCGGTGGCGAGGGAGTTGCTGAGGGAGGAGGAGGAGGAGGTGGTGGAGGAGGAGAGGGAGAGGGAGAGATGGAAAGAGGAGGAGAGGGAGAAGAGGGAGTTTATTGTGCACGTGCCGCTGCCCGACGAGAAGGAGATTGAGAGGAGGGTACTGGAGAAGAAGAAGATGGAGCTGTTGAGTAAGTATGTGAGTGAGGGGCTTATGGAGGAGCAGACTGAGGCCAAGGACATGCTCAATATTCAGCGTTAGTGGGGGTTGTGCCAAGGTTTTAAAATGCTGTTGTAGTTGTAGGTCTGTTGCGGGAAATTGCAGATAAATGTGAGCGTGGACATATGTGGCCATTGGTGGTGGTGACTTCAAAAATCTTGGCCAAAATTGTGTTTGTAAACTGTTTTTTAAAACCTTGGTTGGGTTTCTTTTTTCTTTTGTTTTTAATTTTAGTGGATAATTAGGTTGGTTATAACTTATTACTTGTTGCAGAAAATGTAAAGGAATCAATGTGTTGCTCTGGTGATACTTTTTAAGAAATTTTATGAATGAGCAATTTATTGGATGATGATGATATGTTTTTTGACAAAATTATTTAGGGTTTTATTGAGAAATTAGTGAATTTCGTGTGTGGAGTTAGTTCAGATGTGGAGAAATGAATGTGTTGATATAGTGGCACTTCTTGAGAAAATCTATGAATGACTTGTTTATTGGATGAAGCTGGTGATTTTGAGGTTCTGTTAGCCAGAACAAGCATATGCAAATGTTTGGTCTTATTGTGTAAACTGGTATTTTTATTTTGCTCTCTCTAGATATGTATTGTTTTTGTAGTCTTATATTGCGTAATGGTCTAGGGGTTTGGTTATTACAACATTTAAACCTAAAATAGTATTTATTTATTGCATCCAAAAGAATCAACTGTAAACAATCCAACGTTACCACACAAGTGCAATTGCTTGAAAACTCTTCCTAGAATCCTAGAGTTCTTAATAATCAATACGGTCAAGCAGGATACACTAGTATAAAGTTTGACTCGTAACCCAGAGAAAAAGCGCTCGTACTTGATTTGGAAAGTGTTGTTTTAGCAACATGGTGTTTTATTTACATAATGGCTAGTATTGTTAAAAATGGACATTTTTTGCTTCTTTGCTGTTGTCTATCAAAATCCATGTAATTATACATGGGAACACTGCAACAAATGAGAGTTCTGAAGTTAAGGGCATAATGGGAGCTATTTTAGCAGCTCTCGCAATGGCCAAGAGCATGCAGTGGCTAGCAATGCAAAATTTTTATCTAGAAAGCAGTCATAGTTTTGCTCTGCTTATAAGAAATTCTCAAGGGGATCCTATTTTGGCAGCTATTGCTGGTCTATCTCTAATTCTTTGTCTCTGCCATTGATTTAAATAACTCATAATTTTGTCACCAGATGTCTCTCAAGTCTTTAAGCATACAATGATATAAAACAGTTGAGTCTATCATAAAATTAGTACTGCTACATCCCTCGGTAGCAGCAGAAATGAGTAACACATTTTTTCAACATCTCAGTAGTAAACAGTTATAATTTGACTATCAAAATTTTCAATATATTTTAGAAAATTTCAGTGCCCTGCTTATTATGGCCAATATACTGTCATATGCTTGAATTCAGGTAAAAGATGCAAACAAAAAGAGAAGATAAATTAATAAATTAAAAAGAAAAATAAACTAGTACCATAATGTTGTCTTGAGGTTCACTGATTTATTTCCTGTTGAGAATTGTAACCTTTATGGTTTTTACCAATTTCATCAATTTAACATTGTCGAGACATGGTGGGACTTTACAATGGAATGTTCGGCAGATAGATATTTGTTTGATAATAAAAGGTGCATGCCATCATTGGACCACAAACATGGGCAGAGACATCTGAAGTAGATACAACTCCAGAATGGCAATGAAGAAGTGGCACATCCTGCTGCAATCCTCACCTGGCCAAATTATGCAGATGACAACTATAGCAATTATTGTCATGTCTTGGACACTCTATGATGTTAGCATTTTAACGAAGACAGAGACTCATCATCCACTGAAGTCTTATCACACAACTCTCTGAAGCTCTTAGAGAAGTTAGCAGAGTTAAGCAATATTCTAGCAAATCCACCTCTAGTTTCTTCTCCATTGTCCCAACATCTTGAAAAGCTAAGAGAAGGACAATCCTTACCCCCTTTCGATCAACTATTGACACTTAGACCACTATATATTTTTGGGACCCAAAAATTACTCCCATCTTCTATATATGTGGACAAACTTTATATGCAATACAAAGAAAGAGAATTGAAAGTTGATAATAACCGATTAACACTTGTAATTAAAACTTTTTAACAATAATAAACTGAAATAAGATTCATATTTTCAACTGACTGCTTATTTCAAGCTCCTAATCCTATCTGTACAAAACCACCTAAACATCTTATTTAAGTTAAAGCTGGAAAATTAGATATATTGGTAGAGTTTAAAGTACTTTCTGCTACACTGTGGACGCTTCCTGAAAACAGTTTCTTACGAGATCTCCAACTTTTAATCACAGCCATCATTAGACTCCACATTGTTCTCTGTCCAGGGTATGAATAATTCACAGAATATAAGTAAATTAAGAGAGCAGTTGTTGAAGTGCCTCCAGTCAGGATGAAGAGCACCATGAAGCTTGCAGGGCTAAGACTAGATGTTTCTGCATCCGCGTCAATGTCTGCACATTCCTCAGATGCCAGCATATTTTTTTCTAGATTGCGTAGTGTGCCATTTTCAGATATGTTCAGTAGGGCTTGGTTTACACTACGAAGCAGTGGAGAACCAATTGGAAATACCTGCAAAGACATTGCAACTGAGTAAACATAAACTTGGTTCTAGTTGACGGGCTAGAAATTAAGCGTAGTTCTTGCATGACATACTTCCTATAGGTACAAATAAAAAACTCAAGATATATATGAAAATAATGGACAAAAAACTTTGATATTTTTCCTTAGGTGCATTTGCTCTTATTCTTCAATTAGAATTGAAGTTTCACCTTTGGTACTTTATATTGAGTTTTATTGTAAGAGGTAAAACTCCAATTCTGATTAGCGAACGGTACTGAGGAACCAAAGGAGTTGGATCTCAGTTTTGTCCTAACATAATACTAAAGTTTGTGTTGAAGTGCTTGCTGAAATTATTTTTATGTTAACTTATCTTTTGACTGACTGTGTGTGTAGCAATATAATTACTTAAAGTAATACAGGAAAAAAAAGTGAAAGTATGTTGAAACTATACAAATCCATATCCTCCAATTTTGTATGTAGGTCCTGCTTGAACAAATCCTTTACAGTTCTTTGCAAGGAAAATTTTGGCCTCAGGGACATCAAAGAAGGCAGCTGCTATTTCTTTGTTTCTTAGGGCATCAACATAGCTCTCCGGTGACTCAAATTGCTTGATGTTTTCAGCTTTGATGCCCAACACCTCCTGGAGATATCTGTTCAAGTAGGACCCTCTATCATATCCTACCTTGGCATTGTTGTTTTTTAGCTGCTGAATGCTGTCTACAGTTGCTTCAAACCGTTCAACAGTCAACATGCTGGCAAGGCTAGCAGTGTAAGTCTGTGTAATGATTAGAGCCACAAAAAGCCATACCATCATTGCCACCCTTGATAAATTGCTGTGCAATCCGTCCCCTGTGTCAGAAGATTAAGCAAAAGATATTTTACTTGATATAGTTGTCAACGTTATTTTTTAGTTAGGCGCCGCCACCATTATCAGAAGTTTGATTAAGTTGTCACTGTTCTTAATTAAATTGTTTTTCTTGGATAAAATGTCCTACATAGGTTTGAATCTTTCATTCTGCAGATTATTCAAATCAATCATCCCCTGTCCATTTCTTATAGCAAGTGAATTGAATCTTAGGTAACATGGTTGCGACTTGTGTCCTTTGGATGCTGTAAGTCCAAATGACTTTTGTTGTGAGAGGCAACATGACATTGATATGAATGAAGCGTACATTTTGGTAAACCACTTAATGACACTTATTCTGATAGCTTATTCACAAGTCTGAGTTTAAAATTTACTGAAATAAGTTAACAAAAACACCTGTTCAAAGTTTTCCCATGAAGTTTGTTAAATTAGAAAGATCTTAACACTCGTTATTTTCGTAAGCCTAAACAATTTACGTGGAACGTCTTCTCTACACCTCTTAAAACTATTTACAACAAAAATTAAGCTTTCCTAATAGTAATTGTCTAGTTATATCAACTTCATCATAAACATAAACTAAATTCTAATAGAAGTTAGATGGGTTCAGAATGGGTGCATTGAGAAAACTGGAACTGTTGGATGAAGACCAGACAGCAAAAATATTAAATGTGTTTTAAGTAGGATTTGCCAAGACAAAATATTCGTCCTCCCATCTTATCTAGATAGTCCAACTTGTTGAATACATGAATGCATGAAAATGCTGACTACAGTATCAGATCAAAGCTAAGCCTTAAAAATTGAAATGACATGGGTGCAAAAGATGAGGAGAGTTGAAAGAAGTTACCATTCAAAGTGAACAAGGAACAGAAAGCCAACGACAGCAGAGTTGTGGTTTGATGCAGAATAGAACCCTTCAGTTCAGGGCGGTGGTTTCTTTCAATTAACCATACAACAAAGCCATTGTAGACAATGATGACCAATATTAGAACCCACATGAACTTTGTGAAAGGTTTCATGAATAGCCACGCTCTGTTGCCTGTTTTTGATTTAACAGGAACAATCATCACCATCCCCGGATCAGTATAGGGCTGAGTAAATGAAACAAATTCATACCGCGTGGACACTATTGCTACATCACCAACAACTGCATCATATTCCTGCGTCAAACATAGATCATTCGAGATGTGCAAAAGCAAATTTGATTTGGCTATAAGGCTAGTATATACTGCATGTTAAAATGGATCTGATAGTCTCACTCTGAACAGAAATTATGCTTGAGAATGAAGGTAAAGCTATTTTGTGAAAGAAAAATTGTTGAGATTATTTGTCAGAGAAAAAGGGTAATTTGAGATTAACCATTGTTTTTTAATCTTAGGTGGTTGTGTATCAGGATGAGGATGAGACTTGGTTTATCGGTAAAGTTGTGCTTCAGTGACCAGTTTGATCATGGGTTCGAATGTTTAGAATCATTTGTATTCGTATAACCACCATGTTTTATGTCTATATGAGTAATTTTTCGATTGTAGTTTTTACATTGCTGAAAAACTAACAAAGAAAGACTAAAACTTACAATTTTCTTAGAAGGATTAAAATGAAGGAGCTATTATGGGAAGCAAATGATAAATTAAACCTTATAGAAATGCAACTAGAAGTATTCAAAGTGGCATATGACTGCTGACATAGATACATATCTTACACAATTACAGCATATTCAAAAGTGTTTACTCCTTCTCAGCAATATTTTCTCTATGATTTGCAGTAATGAGGTGAGCTACAGCATACAACGTTAGTAAATAAACAGTTACCTTCGATTGAACTTTCTTCACCAGTTCATCATATGTGGAGCCATTGAATGCAAAATAATCATATTCCAATTGGTATGGCAATTTTTTTACTGTTTCTTCGAAGAGGTCTATAGCAAATCCCTTGAACTTGAAGGAAGTGACATTTCCAGAATCATCTTGAATAACATTGACATACTGTTTGAATGTTGATTTGGAGGGGACACCAATTCTTAGTCGTAAAACACAGGTTGGATTAACTACTTGTGCTAAATCCTTCACTGAAGAACTGTAAGAAGCAGTTTGATCCAAAGATTTTGAGAAACCAAGTCCATCTGACCAGAACCCAATTTCCCTGTAGCTTCTCCCTATCACATTAATGATTTGAAATGTATGTGCTGATGCTACTCTGTGGTCAGTGAACTGAATTTTTCCACTTAATCCAGCAAAACTACTGAGTGAAATCCTATCTAGCAAAATTTGACCCCCTCTTTGGTTGGTTTCTCTCATTGCATGAGCCACAATCCATGTAGCATCATAAGCCTCGGCTGCGAAGATTCCAGGCTCATAATTAAACTCTTCAAAATTCTCTGAGCAAAATTTTGTCCGAAATCTACGGTAGAAGATTGCATTCTGGACCAGCAGATTTGGTAAATAGCTCTTGACTCCAATAATCCCTTGCATATTGGAAATAGCAGATGCATTCAGGGAATGAATAAAGCTTGTAAAGGTACCAGTAGTGATCCATATATTACCTCCCTTCATCATATTCAATGTTTTTGCAGTTTCAAACAGGTGTAGTGCCAAAGGAAAGGACAAATGGACAATAAAGACGCTGCATTGTCCTTCTCTTAGCTTCTCAAGTTGTTGGGACAATGAAGAAGAAACTAGAGGTGGAACTACCAGAACATTGCTTAATTCTGTTCCAACTTCTTTAAGAGCTCCAAGGAGTTGAGAAAAAACTTCAGTAGATGATGAATCTCCATCTTCATATATCAAGGTAATGTTATAGTGTTGCCAAGACTTTACAATCTCAGCAATAGCTTTCATTTGCATAATTTGGCTAGGTGAGGATTGCAGAAGGAAGTGCCACTTCTTCATTGCCCATTCTGGAGTTGCATCTGCTAGAGAAAGGAGGGGTATGCTCTTCTGGGTACAGATTTCAGCCACTGATGATGTCTCTGCCCATGTTTGTGGTCCAATGATGGCTTTCACCTTTTTATTATCAATCAGATCTCTAGCTGTCAATCAAAACAAATCATTTTAAGAAGAATAGAGGATAGTCACATAATATCTAAACGTTAGTTAATTGTTCATATTAGAACTGCAAATTAGGGAATTATTTTTCCTAATTGATATCAATCTTGAAACTACAGTCAAGTCAAGCATCCTCCAAAGAGGTCGCAATTAGAGTTGGTAGGATAACAGGTGTGGTTAAGAGAAATATGAGATTATGAACTCACAAAATTACAAGTTATTTATATCAGAGAGAGAATGAGAGATGCACCTGCAATAGCTGCTGAAAGAGGATCTCCTTGAGAGTCTCTTACATGCAGAACAAAACTGAGATTATTTTTTTGATGAAAGTCTTCCAGTGCCAGCTTTATAGCCACTGCACGTTCTTGGCCAATGCGAGAACTGCTATCCAAAATAGCTCCTATTATGCCCTTAACATCTGAACTCTCATTAGCTTTTATCCCAAGTATAATGACATGCATGTTAATAAACCAAAGCAGAAAAGTAAACTTGTGCATTGTTAACAACTATAGCAGCATATTGCTAGGGTAGGCACTCTTGCCATCATATAAATACAGATCCTATATTGCTAAAGGAACACAGTTCAACTCAAGAATGGTGCTTGTCTTTTGGGTTGAAGTCAATCTTCAATTAGAAGTAATGTATATTCCACTTGACCATATTAAGAATTATTCCTCTTAGTTTTATCGGGTCAAATTAACTTCAAGATTCTGGTAAAGTTTCCAAGTAATTTGATATGGGAGACGGCAATGTATGAATAGTCTACATATAAAAACATATAAAATTAGTGTTTTTTCTTACCTTGATTCAACATGTAATAATTAGGGTTTAGGTTTTATAATTGAATCATTGTTTGGAATATTCTCATTAACTATATGACCATACACAATTACAATATAAAAGTTTTTACATTACCATTCAGAACTCGGTTAATGGGATAAATTCATTGATTTTTATACCAGTTTAAAAATTATATCAAAAATTTTCATTGATTAATAGTGTAAAGAAAGTTTTATATTGAAAGAACATATAAACTAAATCCATAGTCTAATAATTAAAAAAATGTAATACCATTGGGAAAAAAATTCTTATAATCTAATAACATTAGAAAATTTTCTAACAATTCAATAAATTTTGAATTCTGATTACAAAAACGTACTAATTTGAAAATTTGTACTGAAATTTTTATCAGAGTTAATTCTTTTCTTTTCAGTATATTCCCTTCCGTTATTTTCCTGGACTGTTCATGAGAATTCGAGACGGGTCTTCATTCTTTTTTCCCTCATGTTCTTACAAATTATTTTTAATCACATTTGTTATTTTTTTTCTCTTATTTTTATATTTATGTTCTTTCCACCTCAATACATTGAAAATGGGGTGTATGTTTCCTATTTCCCTTTTCTTGGACCATACATTTGTATTCTTACAAATATAAATATAATGACAAAACCTTGAATTTTGAATTATTACAAGATAGACTATTCAAAGATAAGGTTTACCGCAGATCTTCTTAATTTTAAAATATCAAATAATATATTATTAATAAATAATAAATAAATATAAAAAAAATTTATAAAAAAAATTATAATTATACAAATAAATATATTTAATAATTATTAAATTTAAAAAATTAAAATAATAAATATTAATTTAAATTACCAATTAATGACACAATTGACTCAGTCATATGTCACATGTCATAAATGCAGACAAGGATATATGAACAACTTTAACCACATTTAATTTATAATAAAATATTCAATTTTATTTTTAAGTAATTTTTTTAAAAAAACTCTTTTGAAGATCCTTTTAGTACCATACAAATTAGTATATATGAAACTAAATATTATTCTTTTTGAAAAATTTCAGTAATGAATAAGGTTCATGAGGAATAATCCTACAAAAATATTCTTATACTTAAGTAATTAATATAAGAAATATAGAATTAAAATAATAAAAGAGTTTCTTAAAAAATATTCTTATACTTAATTAATAAAAGAGAAGAAGAATCAATATAATAAAAAAAGTTTAGAAATGAAAATGAGATATTGATAATAAAATAGTCAAAAAAATTTACTAAATATATTTTAAATAGTAAATTATAATTATTTTAATATCATTTAATATTTTAATATCACGAGATTATCTAAGTTCTAATCAAATAATTATATATATATATATATTATTTCATATAATATTAATAAATTAATATATAAAAAAAATCTCACAATTTATGTCACATAAAAAATTATTAATTAAGAGTTTGTTTTATTCCAATCTAAACTTCAAAATATATTAATTAAAATTTGTTTTATTTCAATGTAAATAAATAAAAACTAACATATACTTATAAAAAGTTCGTGTTATTCTTATCCAAAATAATAAAGTTTTTATTTTATTTTGATTCAAATTTTAAATTAAAAAAAATCTGAAAGTACATAAGTTTAATTCCACCTTTGGATAATCAAATGTAAGTGTCTTTTAAATAAAAAAAATTCTATAACTAAAATATAAATTTTGCTCAGAGAAAAGAGATAAGGAAAGGATTAAAAATTAATTATGTGTATTTAAATTTTCCAAGAAGTACTTTAAAAAGAAATTTAGAAGGTAAAAGAATTTTTTTACAAGCTAAAAATAGTTTATATATATAAGTTAAATACTTATTTATGAAAGTTTTTTATAAATCAGTTTATAAATAAAGTAGCTTTAATTTATATAAAAATGATTGTATTTAATTATATCTTAAAATTATTTTATATATAAAAAAACTAAATAGATTAACGTGAATTTGATTATATTTTTGTATGAAAAATATCTTAAAATTAAACTGACATAAGAAAAAAATCATAAAAATAAAATAAAATATAACAACATTAACGCATACTATTTTTAATTAAAAAAAGATAGAATCTTAATATCAACTCCACGCACTTAATGATAAGATTTTTCAAAGCGTTCCTTAATTGAAGTACATTTTTCTATAAAAAAATTTAAAATCTTAACAAGTGTAACATTTTTCAAAGCGTGATTTGGCTGAAGCATATTTTTCTATAAGAAAAATAAAATAAAATAAAAATTTACAGAATCACAAAAACACTATTATCTTATAATCTCACACTTTTGTCTTTGTTAGATAGACATTAAATTTTAAAACTTTAATAAATTTATTAATTTTTTATTCATGTCTAATTATTTTAATATTTTTTTATTCAAAATCACTTCGTGTTTTCCAATAATTTTTTCAATAGAATGTTAATTATTTAGAAATAGAGAGTATTAACCATGTGTGTTGTATTACTCTTGTTTTTGAAAATGTATCTCAACTATATTTTTTTTACAATAAAAAATATAGGATAAATTTTGATGTGATAAAAAAAAGTAAAAAATGTATTATATAAATAACATAACTTAAATCTGAATGGGGTGACTTTCTCAATTATATAGTTTACTTGACTTTGACTTGGCGTGCAATTGGTCTCTAATTATTAAATGAAAATTGTGACTTTCTTTGTACTTGCTCCTTGGAATAGTTATCTTGAATTTTATGATGATATGTTATATAAATTGAGTTTCCTTTTGTTCTTATAATTTGTTTGTATATCTTTTATTTCTGAAGATGAAGATGCCACCTTCATTTTTGGTTTATGGCTTCTCTTCTTTTTTTTTTTTTTCTTTTCAGAATCATAAATTTCACTCAATCTCTGGCTACAACAGATCCTTCTCAAGGTAAGTTTCTCATTCTTTTTCTTTTTCTATTTTATTATGTATGGCTAAGTATTATGTAACTTTTAATTCAACCAGTGTATTTTGTACAAAATTTTTCATCAGAAAAAAAATGTAAATTAAAAATAAAAATTTAGAAAAATAATATTTACTGTTTTAATACACTTAACAGTCTCTTTATATATATATATATATATATATATATATATATATATATATATATTTTATTTCTTAATTATTTCATAATATATGTTTGGAAGGCAAAAATTACAATGAAATTAAAATTTGTTGAATCCCAACAGATTTAAGTCGGAACATCAATCATTATAAATTAGTTTATATATGAATTAACTTTAACTTATGAAGAAATTAATCAGGAGAAATTTGTTCATATATATCTTTATTATATTTAAATGATTATCAAATAATTATTAAAGCAATTTTATCGCGTTTTATATGAGACAACTTTATCACTGTAAATAACCAGCCTAAATAAATTAGTATGAGTTAGTTTTTATTGAAATACTTATATCCTCAAGATTACGTTATAATTAATGTAGAATTAAATTATATACATATTTATTTTCTAATATTGTATTAGAGTTTATAGTTTTTTCTTAATCATTTAGACATCTACTTCCCTCAACTATTAAATTGAAATTCCATACTTCTTAGTAGTCATGATAGAAGAGATGTTGGAAAAGAAATATATATTAAGTTATGAAAACTACCTTGTTAAGATGTTTTTTTTTTTTTTTCTTTCTTTCTTTCCAGTGACAGCTTTGAATGCAATTTTCCAGAAATGGAAAATATCTGCACCACCTCAATGGAATATAAGTGGTGAACCATGTAGTGGAGTGGCCATTGACGACACTTCATTAGATGATTTTGAGATGATGATCAAGTGTGATTGTTCATATCAAATTGACACTACTTGCCACATTACTCAACTGTACAAAGATAATCTTTTCCGTATCTAATCATGTTGATATATTCAGTTAGTTCTTGAATTATTTGAAAAACAATTGATTAAATTCTCAAATTAATTTAACCATTTCTCAATTCTTATTCTGTGCTACATAGGGAGTTTATCAACATTTGTTTCCTAACTTACTGAACAGGAAACTTCGTGCAAAGGATGTTCTTGGTGAGATCCCAGAAGAGCTTTGGACTTTGACATACCTCTTCAACTTGTGAGTCTTCATATTTTCGGTTATCTTTTTTGGTTAAAAATAGATTATGATCATATGCTATAGTTGTGAAATTGTTGGGACACAAAAGAACAAGTACATTAAACCTTTCGAAAAACATTTTCAGGGATTTGAACCAAAATTACTTGTCAGGTTCTCTATCTTCTTCCATTGGCAATCTAAGTCGCATGCAATACTTGTAAGTCTGGTTTTCTTTCTTACTTCGTTTCAATTTTGTCCTTTGAGAAAAGTTAAATATAGTGGTCATTTCCTCTTGAAATACATATTTCTTTTTATGATTTATGAAGAGTTTATTTTCTTGATATTTATTTTGAGTAGGGGATTAGCAGCTAACTCTTTGTCTGGAGGGATTCCAAAGGAATTAGGACATCTCACTGATTTAAGTTCGTTGTAAGTTTTCTAAACTTACTGTTCTATTAAACTAATAGTGGCTACTTTCTTCAAACTCCTTGCTAAAAGAATGGTGTGAAATGAAAATTGTAAATCATAGTTATTAGTCTCTTTGTTCATGCATATTCTATTTATTTTCATCAACTGGAAGTGCTTCACTATTTTTGTTTGTTATTATGCAGGTCTTTAATGGAAAACAACTTCTCTGGATCACTTCCACCTGAGTTAGGGAGTCTGGTGAAATTAGAACAACTGTAACATTCTCAGTTTCCATCTAATTTTTGCACCAGTTTAATTTTACTAATCACATATTCCTTTTGGATTTTGGTTGATCAGTTAGGAAATATTTTGTTGTGAGAACACAAACTTGTATTTTTCTAGAGTTATGGAAAAGACACTGATTCTGCATATTTACTGTTGTAGTTATATTTCCAGCTCTGGGATTAGTGGTGAGATTCCTATGACTTTTGCTAATCTTGGAAACCTCAGGATAGTGTAAGTCCTTAACTATTGCCCCTATAAAGGACCTTCCAAACAAAAGTGACAGAAGATTATATATAGGAGATTAAGTTAATGTTTGTACTTTCATTCAAAACAAGGTCACTTGGTTGGTTGTAGGTGGGCGACAGATATCCAACTCAAAGGCAAGATACCCGATTTTATAGGGAATTGGTCCAAGCTTCATACCCTGTAAGACGACATTGTTGAACCTTTTATGTCAAAGAAATTGATATGCTTTTAATTTATAAATTCCAGAACACAAGAGTGTTCACACATCATATGACATGAAACAAGGAAACTTTAAGGTCAGTACTGTCTCCAAAATCATGTATATGCTAATAACCATTCTTCCAAATGTTTTTTATAAAAAATTTCAAGGGAATTCTTTTGAAGGTCCAATACCGTTGTCATTTTCTAGCTTGACAAATATGGAGGAGTTGTGAGTATCCAAATCACTAATATTGTTTCTTTTGTTATTTATTATTAATGGAGCTAACAATTTTTGTATGGTACACCATCAGGAAGATAAGTGAATTATCTTTGCAAAGCTCCTCGCTAGATTTTATTCAAAATATGAAGTCTCTGAAGATCCTGTAAGCCAACAACTATGCAATTGAAATTAAGTATTTTTGTTTTATATATGTTTTTCTCCCTCCATGTTATAAGACCACAATTTGGGGACCCATTTTGCAGTGTCTTGAGGAACAATAACATTTCTTCTACAATTCCAACAGATTTTGGTGAATTTCAAAATTTAACCCAGTTGTAAGTAACACCCTTGAAATTGAATATTTCTTATATAAATGCATTATTTGACATTTTTAATACCTTATGGATAATGTTTTCTTCTAAATTAGAAAAGTTAATTTGGTCATTTTTTTTTTCAGGGACTTAAGCTTCAACAACCTAATTGGACAGATCCCAAACTCGCTTTTCAATTTGAACTCACTTTCTTATTTGTAATGTGTCTTGATGTATAGTTTTATGATATATGTCATTCTAATTTGTTTTCACTCTATTCAAGGATCTTCTAACAATGTCCATGCTTAGGTTTCTCGGTAATAACAAGCTAAATGGTACAATACCTTCTAAAAAGAGTGCATCTTTGCTCAACATGTGAGTATATCTTCCCATATATAATTCAATTTATGTTTCACGAAAATGGGAAATTTCTAGTGATTATTTCCTTTGTTGGAGAAATCATTGTTTTGTAGGATATTTAATAAACTTAGCATAAATGTGTTCCATATCATGCTAATTTTGAAGCAGATTATAAATTCCAATACTTTCCCAACCTTGGTAAACTTTTGAATAAAGCTTGAAATAGATCAACACATTTTCAAAATTGAAATTAAGTGATCAAGAAGTTCAACCATCAATTTTAACATAATTTTTATACATGTAAAGATTACATAAAAATATTCCTTACAATGTCTAATTTCTATGTTTGCTTTCAGTGATTTATCATATAACTACTTAAGTGGGAGTCTTCCTTCTTGGGTCACTGAACAAAATTTGCAACTGTAAGTTTTACAAAACTAATTTTTTCTTTTGCATGACACCTTTGCTCTAAAGTTTAAATGGGTTGTGATGTGCAGCAATTTAGTTGGCAACAACTTCGAAGCAGAGAATACAGAAAGCAGGTGAATTTTTTGTTATATCAATGTGCAATTTACACCTATGACTGATAACGGTGTTCATACTTGTTAAATTGACGCTTAATAACCAAGATTGATTTTATTATTTTAATGGTACTAACTTGTATTTCATGAAAGGAGATACTTATAGGATAAAAATCATCATTTGGAAGTTTACTTATCATTTTAATATGACTTCTGAATTAAAAAAGTTAATTAAATTTGGTTATTAAAATAATGTTTATTTGTCTCTCATCTTGATTCGTTCCAAGTCCATGACTAGTTCTCTTTCAGTGGTATGCCTTCAGGATTAAGATGCCTTCAACGTAACTTTCCTTGTAATCATGGCACTGGAATCTGTAAGTACTCTTTATCTTAAGTATGAAAAATTAAGATCATATTTTGGTTACACTGTCTTATGACAGATTAATTATCTGTAATGTAATTCCTCTTTCAGATTACAACTTTTCAATCAATTGTGGTGGTCATGAAATTGTATCTTCCAAGGGAGTTGTGTATGAAAATGATGTTGAGGAACTTGGTCCAGCTACATACTTTGTGACAAACACTCAAAGGTGGGGGGTTAGCAATGTTGGCAAATTTTGGGTCATGTATATATATGATACATATTTAAATGTGTTAGAGTCATTATTTATTAAGCCAAATAATAAAGTGATATGAATAAATTAAAGTTTTGGCTAAAGGCATATGTCATGAAAATATGATTGTGTAGAGACCATAGAGTAATTTCTAATTTGATGAGGGGCTAAATTGAAAATACTAAAACTTAAGTAATTAACCTAATTTTGGTTATATAAAGGGTCATGGTCCCTTCGAAGCACATGCATGTAACACGATTATGATCCCGTTCTTTTCTTTCTATTCCCATCAAGAGAGAAAATCAAGAGGAAATACAGTGCTTCTTCGATGGAAGACCATAAGATCAAATCAAAGGTGCTCTACAAAGGATATCATCATTATGGTCAATTCAGGTACACTTTCGCATTTAGTTTATAACATGTTTACAGTATGGGATTATACATATATGTTTGATTATTAGAATGAATATCATATTCAATTAAAGATTATGTTTGATTATTAGAATGAATATCATATTCAATTAAAGATTAACCTAACAAATGGTATCAGAGCAACCCATACTTGATTCATGTTTGCATTAGATTTAACAAAATTGAGATTTAAGAATTCAAGTGGAGAATAATCTCTAAATTTTGCGAACCCTAAATTTAAATTTGGAGTAAAATCCCCAATTTTAAAACCTAATTTCGAATTTGGGGATTCGTGGAGGAGACACTGCTCCTTCGTCTTCATTGGACACTGGATCAAGAGGAAAGTGCTTCGGAGGCTGATTCCAGCAACAAGCGGCTGGTGCTCGCACTGTATGACGCCCTAAACTCCGGCGATTCCACCACCGAAACCTTCCGATTCATTCCGCAATCCATCGCCGCCTTTGGCTCTACTGTCATCGCCGAGGACTGCGACACTGCCCGCAACATTGCCTGGGTTCACGCCTGGACCGTCACGGATGGGATAATTACTCAGGAGTTCATGGCTAATTCAGCATGTAGCAGCACAAGTACACTACAATGTCTATGCAGAGGATTATTCTGGTAGCGACCCAGTAGCGTTGGTAGCTAATCATTTGGGTAATTGTGTTACTGTGCAGGAACTGAATCAAGTGTATGCCCACGTTTTAAGGACACACTTTTTTATCTCCAATATGGCGCAATTTAATTGGAACAATATTATAAGGTCATACGCCAGGCTAGAGGCTCCACTCAATGCACTTCGCATCCACATTTTAATGTTGCGGAATGGGGTTTTGCCCGATTGTTATACCCTTCCCATTGTTCTCAAGGCTGTGTGCCAAACTTTTGAAGTTAAGCTCGGGAAACAGGTTCACTCCGTTGGTATCAAGCTTGGACTGCAATGTAACGAGTTCTGTGAAACTGGGTTTTTTATGTTTGTATTTTAAAGCTGGCGAATTTGGAAGTGCCCGAAGGGTGTTTGATGAAAACCCTGACCCGAAGCTGGGTTCTTGGAATGCGGTAATTGGTGGGCTTTCCCAATGTGGTCTTGCCCGGGATGCGATCAACGTGTTCCTTGATATGAGGAGGCGGGGATTTGAGCTGGATAGGTTGACCATGATTAGTGTGACTTCGGCTTGTGGAAAGATTGGTGACCTCAACCTGGCTCTCGAGTTGCATAAATGTGTTTTTCAGGTTGAATCTGGTGAGAAAGATGTTGTTGCGTGTACTGTTATGATGGGTTCGTTTTCGACCCATGATGCATTAGTTCTGCAGTGGCGATGGTTCATGCCTATGAATGTTGCTATATATATATATATATATATATATATATATATAAATAAATAATCAAATTTTGGTTTTGTTATATAATATTCAAATATTTTTTGGTAGTTTAATATTTTTTGTGAGCAAATTGAGTCAAGAAATTACCAAAGTAACCTCTCTTGAATTGGGCAGTTCATGAAAAATATTGAATGTTAGTGTTTTGTGTATATTCATGTGAGTATTAGTCGACCCAAAGGAAGAATAATATTTGGTCGAATTGCACACACACTTGTAATGATAAACATGTGATAATTATAAGGATTTACTTTGTCGATGATAAATCAATCCAAAGACTGGTTTGTTGTTGGACGTGCTATATTGTCAATGTTTGATTATTACAACAAGATACCTCTAGCAGTTAATATTACTGTCCAAAGACTTGATGTTGATGGTGCATTGGGTGTCTTGAGATAGGTTAAACCATTATTTGAATATATATATTTTATTTATAATTATTTATTTTATAATGTGAGCATAATTAGTTTATTTCTTTTGTTCTAATCCAGCTACAATTGCTTTTGTATCTGCAAATTTGAATCCTGTTCCGATCCTCAATGGAACAAATTTTAAGGACTGGAAAGAGAATATTGATATTATTCTTGGCTACATGGATATGGATCTTGCGTTAAGGACTGAGCAACCTCCTACTCCTACGGATTCAAGTACCTCTGAACAAAAAAGAGATTATGAGAAGTGGGATCGCTCAAATCGCATGAGTCTAATGATCATTAAGCGCGACATCCCGGAGATGTTTAGGGGCACTGTTTCTGAAAACATCACAAGTGCCAAAGAATTTCTTGCTGAAATTGAACAGCGCTTTGCAAAAAGCGATAAGGCGGAGGCAAGCACTCTTCTTCAGAACTTGATCTCCATGAAATATCAGGGCAAAGAAAATATCAGGGAATACATTATGAGCATGTCTAATATTGTTTTTAAGCTCAAGACACTAAAGCTTGAACTCTCAGAAGACTTGCTCATTCATTTGGTGTTGATTTCTCTTCCCGCAACGTTTAATCAATTTAAGGTATCTTACAACTGTCAAAAGGATAAATGGTCTCTTAATGAGCTCATTTCTCATTGCGTGCAAGAAGAAGAAAGGCTAAAACAAGACAAGACAGAAAGTGCTCATTTTGCAAGCACCTTTAAGGCTAAAGACAAAAGAAAGAGATCGGAGGATCCCAAGAAGGAAGCTGCTAAAGGTCCAGAACAAAAGAAACAAACTCAAGAAAATAAATGTTTCTTTTGCAATAAGACTGGACACATAAAGAAACAATGTGCTAAATATCATGCTTGGCGTGAAAAGAAAGAGTTGCCTAAACTACCGGAAGCCAACTAATTCTGAAAGATGAATATACGTTGAAAATGGCAAATTGGTGGAGATGGAGACTATTGAACATTTTAGATTATTATTGTGTACTGGTTTTTTATTTTTAGATTTAAAAGACATTTTTTGTCGTGCCGTCTTTTAGACGGAATTTGGTTTCAGTTTCTTATTTGGACAAATTAGGTTATTTGTGTTCATTTGGAAACAATAAGTTCAGTTTGTCTTTTAATTCAGATATTGTTATAACTGGTTCATTTTTTGGCTAATGATAATCTATATTTACTTGATACTGTGATCACCTATAATGCAACTCTTAATACAGAATCTCGTGGTATTAAACTAAAATTGGACTCCTGAACAGTAAGTAGTTACTTCATTGGTTATTCTGAGAGAGCCCGTGGATATAAATTTTATGATCCCACATTAAAGACATTTTTTGAGATGGGAACTGTTATGTTCTTTGAGGATATTGAGTTTGGGGGAAAAATAAGATTAAGAATTTTGTATTGGAGGAAGAATCAACAATAAATTCAGAACCGAGTCAAACAGTTACTTTTGATAAAGTAAGTTCGGAACCTCCACAAGACATTGATGACAAACCCCATATTCAAGATGATTTGATTGTTCGTCAAGACCAAACTCAAGATTCTCAAGAACCTGTGCGTCATGAGCCGAGGATACTCCAGTTACTAAGGGAGACAAGTTTAGTCTAAACTAGTGCCCAAAGAGGAATTTGAAAATTGAGGAAATGCAACAGATTCCCCATGCATTAGCTATCGGGAGTTTGATGTATTCCCAAATATGTACGCGTCCAGACATAACATACATAGTTGGGGTTCTAGGCAGATATTTAAGCAATTCAGGAATAGACCATTGGAAAGCAGCAAAAAGGGTCATAAGATATTTAAAGAGAACAAAAGATTATATGCTCACATACAGGAGGTCAGACCAGTTGGAGATCGCTGGGTTTTCTGACTCTGATTTTGCAGGATGTCAAGAATTTGTAGCATGCTATGAGGCATCAAATCATGGAATATGGCTGAGAAATTTTGTCACAGGGCTGCAAATTGTGAAAGGCATTGAAAGACCACTTAAGTTATATTGTGACAATAAATCAGATGTATTGTTAAGGAAAAAGTACAAAGTGGACAGATTTCCATAGAACACTTAAGGACAAACTCCATGATAACATATCCTCTAACTAAAGGACTTCTGCCCAAGGTCTTTCATGAGCATGTTGCTCACATGGGTGTTTTACATTTTGAGGAATTTGTGGTTTAGTGGGAGTTAGTCATTTTCATATATTTTATATTCTATGTTTAATTTTATATATGTATACATTGTTTTTTGGACATATTTGGTTATCTATAGATATGCGGTTTTCTTGTTCATTCATTACACTTTGTACATTAAGGTTATTGTATCTGTTGAAAGTCCCACATCGCCTACCTCATATCATTTGGTATGGTTTAAATACATGTTAGGCTACTCCACATATTGTCAATTGGTGTTATGTTGGAACTTTAACATGGTATCAGAGCCAAAGCCTAACATCTTTCCGGTTATTGTCATGGGCCAAAAGTTGCCCTTTAGTTGGGTCAAAAGTACCCTTTGCCTGGTCTGGCAGGCTTCGTTGGAGGGGGTGTGTTGAAAGTCCCACATCGCCTACCTCATATCATTTGATATGGTTTAAATACATGTTAGGCTACTCCACATATTGCCAATTGGTTTTATGTTGGAACCTTAACAGTATCGATCTCGATAAGTTAAAGTTTGGACCAGTTGAAAATAGACGTGTACAGATCACCTTCACGTAATTTTTCATGCTACACATTTCATGATGAATCCATGTCATTTGGTTATGTCAGGATGAGTAATCTTGTTGGTTTTAGTTGCGATGATGCAATGAAAAGCTGGTTTGGTTCTATATCCTGATATGATTAATGGACAGGACTTTTGGAATATGCTAAAAGAATATAATGACAATTTTGAGCTCATAAAGTCTAACACATTTGTAAGGTTGCTCTTCAGGTGGAAGACCATAAGATCAAATCAAAGGTGCTCTACAAAGGATATCGTCATTATGGTCAATTCAGGTACGCTTTCGCATTTAGTTTATAACATGTTTACAGTATGGGATTATAGATATATGTTTGATCATTAGAATGAATATCATATTCAATTAAAGATTAACCTAACAAGCAATGTGGGATACTTTACTGGGAGCAGTTCTGTCACAAATGAATTCTCTGCTACTTCAGATCCCAACATGTTCCAAACTGCACGACTATCTGCCTCATCGTTAAGATATTATGGCTTGGGACTGGAAAATGGTAACTACAATGTGAGTCTCCAGTTTGCTGAAAGCAAAATTTTAGATTTTGCCACATGGAGAAGTGTTGGGAGGCGAGTCTTTGATGTCTACATCCAGGTCAATATTACACTTCTTACAACTAAATTTTCATCAGGACAAGGCCTTATTGTTTGTATTTTACTCCCAGGGGAATCTTGTTTTAAAGGATTTTGATATACAAAGGGAAGCTGGTAAGGTGTCTTTCAAAGCCATTGAAATGGAATTTAGAGCTCAAGTATTGGAAAACTACCTTTGAGATCCACTTTTTTTGGGCTGGAAAAGGGACTTGTTGTATACCTGATCAATATACTTATGGACCCTTAATTTCAGCCATTAGTGCTACCCCAGGTAGGGTTTGGTTGTTGCAAAGTTAGTTTATATATTGTACATCCTCAAATTGTTTCATAATTATTTATATTTTTATCCTTTATATAGATTTCATTCCCTCTGTTAGTAACAAGCCTCCCACCATTGAGAAGAAAAGGATTGGCCTGAAAGTTGGAATAGCTCTCGGCATTGGAGTTTTAAGCATTTTTTCTATTTCTGTGGTTTGTTTCATCAGTCGAAGAAGACATCATGTTGATGAAAATGAAGGTAAAATATAATAAAAAAATAAAATTAGTTATAAAATATATATAGGGATGTTGCTAACACTTCTTATGTTTAATTTTCAGAGTTCTTTGGTATTGAAGCTAGACCATACACTTTCAGTTACTCTGTGTTAAAGAATTCCACCAATAATTTTGATTCTTCCAATAAGCTTGGAGAAGGTGGATTTGGCCCTGTCTATAAGGTAGTCTGTGTATTATTTTTATTTTTTAAAATATAGTTATAAAATAGTTACAAATTAGTCTAATCTTTCTTTTCTTCATAATTTCAATTATTAGCAGATTCATTTAACTTGTTAAAACATAATTGACAGTTAGAATCAAAACATAATTCTTGTTAGAACATGAGTATAAAAACCATAAATAATTAAAAGTGAAACCAGAAACTATTATTTCCTTAGGAACTGTAATCCAATTACTTTGAATAAGTCATTTTCTTTTCTATTTGTTGATTATTTTGCTGTATCCAATGAACAGGGGAAACTTAATGATGGGAGATTGATAGCAGTTAAGCAACTCTCTGCACAATCTCGTCAAGGAAACACAGAGTTCATGACTGAGATTGCAACTATTTCTGCAGTGCGACATCGTAACCTCATTAAGTTACATGGATGTTGCAGTCAAAAGGATAAACGACTTTTAGTTTATGAGTATTTAGAAAATGGGAGTCTTAATAAACTACTATTTGGTATAATCATGCATAGGGTGCTGCATTTGTTTATCTGCATGCTTGTGCATTCCCATGTGATTTATTCATATTTGGATTGTTGAATCAGGAAAAGCAAGTTCAACCCTGAACTGGGCAATACGATTTGGTATCTGCAAGGGCATTGCACAAGGCTTGACCTATCTCCACGAAGAATCACAATTACGTATAATTCATCGTGACGTGAAGGCTAGTAATATTTTGCTTGACCATCAATTTGTCCCTAAAATATCAGATTTTGGTTTGGCTAAGCTATTTGATCTGGAAAAAACCCACTTAAGCACAAATCTTGCTGGGACAAGGTATCTACTATTTTCTTTTTCCATTCTTGTTTAAGACTATTAGTTACACTCACATCTTGAGCTTGTCTTTCTTTGTTACTTTTAAGGTAAACCCTTGAAATAGTGTTGTCATGTCAGTTTCTTGAGTTCTAGTGTCCATCACATCCTGAAATGAAACATAAAAACATGGAAGAGAAGAGACTAAAGAGGTAACAAGCCGTCACCTTTCATAATCATTCACCACCTAATTCTGACAATCTAACATGAGAATTGAGAGAAGGAGTCTCAAACTCTAAAGAGAGAAAATACTCTAAAAACTATTTTTTTATTTGATTAATATGACATAAAATATGTATTATGTGTCTAGAAATGTTTATTATAAGCTAGATTAATAATGTAAAAGAAGACACTCTTATATCACCTTAAATCTAGAAAACTAACTAGAGTTAACTATATTAATCTTGACACCTACTATGGTTAGTTACTAAAACAAGGGGAAACAAGAATGAAGTGGGGACGTATTCCATGAATATTCTTGGAAGTTTTCATATTAATAACTAGGTAGTTTAATTACTTGGATCATTAATGAGACATAAATGCTCAATAATAAAAGTGACTCTAGCAATTATCACCCTAACTAATGCATGGTACTATATTCTAATAACTATTACTCTAATTTCACAAAAAACATTAATGTAATTTTTTTTATTTATTAAAATAAATACTTTTTAAAAAATTATAAAACATGATTTTTAATATAAATAAATTATAACACGATTTCAGTTTTTGAAGTGATAAGAGATAATAGGATTTGCATATTTTATTATTATAATAATAGTTATTATTATTATTATTATTTTATTATAGTTATAATTCTTTTACTTATGTCATTATTATTATTATTATTATTATCCACTATTCAGTTTGAATAATAAATAAACAATTATTTAATATTAATGATTTTAGTTTGTTTATAAAATAATTTGATATTTTGTATACACTGTCATTTTTTTCAAGTAGCCATGTTTTAGTCTTTCAGAAAAATTCCAGCTTTTTATTATTTTGATATATTAGTAATTCACATGGCCCAACCCAAATGTAAGCGTGATTAAAAGTGAAGTGTTTTGACTAATTGAGTTGCACATTTTCTTGGTAAAATAAAATCATGATTTTCAAACCTTGTTCTGATATGAAGGGGGTATTTGGCACCAGAATATGCCTGGCGTGGGCACCTCACAGAAAAAGCAGATGTATTTGCCTTTGGTATCGTAGCTCTAGAGATTGTTAGTGGAAGGTCGAATTCAGATTCTATCATGGAAACTGAAGAAAAAGAGACATTTCTACTAGAATGGGTATGTAATTTGATATCTTCAATCACTGTTTTCAAGAAGGAAGGAAAAAAAGAGTCAATATAACATCTGAGTTTTAAATTGTGATTGTGATCATGTGAAGATGCTACTGTTGCATCATGTGAAGCGATTTACATTTTGCAGCCCAGACATATATGCACACTAAGTTTTTGATATTATTTTGTTGGCTTAAATGTTTGGTTTATAAGGCTTGGAACCTTCACATGAACAAGAATGAAATTGAGTTATTGGATTCAAGGCTAGAAGAGTTTGATGAGGCAGAAGTGAGACGTGTGATTGGGATTTCTTTATTATGCACACAATCATCACCCTTTCTGCGACCATCCATGTCTCGAGTAATGGCAATGCTTTCAGGTGATGTTGAAGTTCCCTGCGTAACATCAATGCCTGGGTACTTGGGGCTTGCTTTTGATGATATAACTGACCAGATAATACAAAAAGTTTAGCATATAAGATTCATCACACTTCACCAAAGGGATTTGTATACACTAATACTTCATTACTCACTCAGGATTTCTCATGCTTCGTTCAAATTTTACCTACTTCTTGCGTGTTGTATAATATTATCTTTTGTTGTTGCTTATCTTACTTTGCTATGATTAAGTCAAGTTAGCATATCAATCTAAACTCAGATATCCTCAAGTAAAAGAGAAACACCAAATAATTACGTACACATAATAAATATATAATAATAATAATAATAATAATTAAAACAAGATAAAATACATTAATGTAATTATTATTTAAAATTATATTATTCATGTGAGATAAAAAAATTTAAAAATGATTATATTTTTATAAAAAAATTCGTATTTAAAAGAAAATAAAAATTTCTATCTATAAATCATATTCCTTTTATAAAAAATAATTCCATTCAAAAATTCAGTCAATTTTTTTAATTTTATACCAATTTAATAAAAGTTTAATTATTTAAAAATAATATATCAATTTTTAGACTGATTGCGATTGAATTGATTGAACTACCAATCGAATTCCATTTTCAAAATAATAATTCAAAATTTACCATTTTACCCATAAATATTATATATTTATTATTGACTTGCAAACTAATATTTCTTTGAAAATAAATTCAAAATAGTCTAAATTTTCCATTTATACTATAACATCCATCTAGTGGGTTATTTGCATTTCAAAATTTTCTTAACAAGTCTTTCTTCAATTCTCTGTTCTTCTTCTTCTTCTTGATATCAATATATGTTTCGAAATATTATTTGCAGAGACCTTAATTTTTTTTTCCCTTGTTTTAAAGTCATGAAATTCAAATGTGTTTAGCATTCATGCAAATTTAAGAAAGAAAAAAAAAACAAGGAAATATTAAAACTATGGCAAGACTAATATTATAGAAGAAAAAGTGCTAGAGAGTAGTAAATTGGACCTTGAAATGTTATGCAAACAGTGAAACTTGAAATATTTCAAGTTAGGTTCAAGAATCAATAAAGAAAGATTTTTCTCCAAAAGTTCTCTTCGAATCATCCAAAGAAAAGATTCAACAAATTAGATCGTAAAATTCACACGAACGATGTCAAAAGTTCTCTTACAATTTTTTTTTTTTACTTTTAATCATTATTTGGTGTTTAATAACCACAAACATTGTTTAATATTAAAGCTAATTAAACATAAATAATTATTAAATTTCATGTACTTATGACATAATTATGGAAAGAAAAATTATTAAATGATATTTACTTAAGTTGTTTTTCAAGAGGATCCGAAATTTCAAAGTCATTTGCAAGTGTCCTATAATATTTGGGTAATCCCGCTACCCCAATTCCCACAAGAATGGAGGAGAAATATACCTTCGAAATACAATTTTCAGTTATAAAATTATTTTGTTTATTTTTTTATCAGAATTATTTAAATAAAACGTTAGGCAAAAATGTCTCGTTTGTAACACATAATCGTTCGAAATGTTGCAATTTTTTTTTCGCGTAATGAATCTTTGAGAATATTGAATATTATAATTGTATGTTGATGATACAATAACGCAACAACATAACATGATATGTTTAAGGGTAATGATATATAAATAATTCATCATTTAAATACATCATGGAATAATAAAAATATTTATATTTCTACTTTTTCTTTATTTTTTTTTTCTTAAACTTTAAAGTTGTCAATAAGATATTTGAGGTGAATTAGATTGTAAAAAATCAAATTTCCTATATTTAAAGAAAAGTACAGCTTTTGTTGAAATCAATTCCAGCGAAATGACATCGTACAAGTCGAAATTAATTTACCCAAGGACTCAGCAAAGTCAACACCCAAGTCTCTACAAATCCCAATATCAGGACAACACCCATACACTCGGCAAAGTCAACACCCAAGTCTGCACCGTGCAACATTTTCATTCTTTTAGTACAAGGAATACAGGGAGCTGAAGGGGTGGAGTTCGATTTAGTTCTTGTGAGCTGTTATAAGGTATGACAAAACATTTAAGGTTTGGTCGCCAGTCCGTCAGTCTGTCAATCCATCATAATATGACAGGATGGGTTGGTGTTTTTAATCCACCAATCCACTTTGACCTGTCTTGCCAAACTTGTCAACTCGTTGGCCCAATGCACGAGGACGGGACGAGTCAACCTGCGGTTCACCTAATTAATAAAAAAATATTTTTTTATTATAATAAAATTAATTATAAAAATAATATATAAAGTTAAAATTTTTAAAAAGATAATTAAAAAAGTTTCACTTTCATAACAAATATTCTCTTTACTTGAAACATAACTTTCTCTCTCATGTTCTCCTTGTTCATGTTAAACACAGATTATTTTTATCCTTATAACTTGAATTAAAGGTGTAAGAATTATTCAACCAAGAATAATGTGAAGTTTTATCAAATTAAAATGATATAGATATTTAAAATTTTCAATATAAAAAATATAAATTTTATAAGTTTTAACGTTATTTGTTATTATTTATTATTATATAAATTTTATTATTGTTCTAAATTATAATTTCTTAAAATAATGTATTGATTTATATTATTAAATTGAAATAATATATATTGAATTATTGACAAACAAATAATAATCTTTTTATTAAATTTATTAAAAAAAATATTTTAAAAAATAAATTATTTTTTTCTAAATTATGGCGGTCAACCAGCCCCTTAGCGGGGCGGACCAAGGTCTACAACTCGTCATGACTATAACGGGTCAGCCCGTTCTGCCCCGCTTTTGGTGGGCCAAAGGAGGGCGGGCCAAAACGAGGCGGGCTGGCCCTTTTGCCATCCCTAGCTAGTATCCGTTCAAAATATGAGTAGAGAAGAATCATGTTAGAAAAATAATTATATATGTTAGAGAATTTAAGTTTGAATTTGAAGTCCTACATTTGGTAAAAATGGAAAAGTTGAGTAATTTATAAGTGAAAAAAATTCATAACCTAATGTCTTATGGTTTTTGGTTGAAGGTGATGTCATATTCTCTTATATAGTTAGCTCATGACCCATTTGTGAGAATCTCTCTGCTATTAGCCTCCTCAGAAATACCTAACAGTTGTATCAGAGCTGATGGTTCGTCTAGTAACTGCCTCGTTTGAGTATAGCAGGTGAAAGGTGTTGAACATACACAGATATGAAACTTGAAGATTTTGATGATGATTCAAGAACAGAGGACTTAAAGACTTGAAAACTTATAATCATATGTATTTACTTGTAATAACTCTGTTTTGTCTTTTTGAGTCTGTAAAATTATAGTTCATGATAGTCAACACATAATTCATTATCTGAAAGTTCATTTTTATTAAAATAACTCTGTAATAATTGATTATCACTCAGGATAATCGATTGTCATGCTTTGAAACCTATTTTCTGAAAACCTTGCTGGAATAATCGATTATCTGGGTTGATAATTATTATCCCAGTTTGAAAGTTCTGGAATAATCGATTATCACTTAGGATAATCGATTATCCCGGTCCAAAACTTATCCTCTGCGAAAATGGTTCTGTAATAATCGATTATCATTCAAGATAATCGATTATTTACGTCTGTTATGAGTTTTGAATTTCAAATTTGGACTAATTTACGAAAACCCTTTTCCCAATACTTCAAGTTTCAAAAATCATTATTTCCTAGACCCTATTCTTTCTACTTAAGGTTCTCTAAGGCTCTCTGCAAGAAACAATCCTTTTTCATATAAAAGTTAAGAGTTGTGATTGCTAGAGGACTTTGTGTAGGGAAGAAAAATGGGTTTTAGAAAACCTAGTGTGGGATATAAGTGATAAGAATTACTGAGTGGGTTTCTTGGTGGATTGTGTGTTGTGTCATGTCTAGGAAAAACTATTGTTCATTCTTTGTGGATTCAAAGGAGGTGTTCATCTCTTGTGTGACTCAAGAGAGGTGTTTTCTATTCCTTATCTTTTTCAATTTGTAATCTGTTGTAATCTGTGATTATAATGACAACGTTAATCCTCTTTTAGAGTGATTAACAACTAGACGTAGGATCTTTTGATCCGAACCAGTATAAAACATCTGTGTAATATTCTCATCCTTATCTCTTTACTTTACAAGCATTTTAATTGGTGAAATTTGGGAAAAAATTTCAAAACCCTAATTTTTATAAGAAATCAATTCACCTCCCTCTTGGTTTTTGTCCCTAAACGCGAATATTCCGCTGCACAATTCTAACAAGTAGTATCAGAGCTTGCTTTGATAGTCATTCAAATTTCAAAAATGGTCGGACAAAACCAAACCTTTGCCGAGGGTGCTTCTATCAACAGACCCCCACTTTTTGTGGGGCAAAATTATCCTTTTTGGAAAGTAAGAATGCAAATATTTTTGGAGTCTGTTGATAGGGGTGTATGGGATGCCATTATAAATGGTCATTTTATTCCCAAAGTTATTGTAAATTATGTAGAAGAACCTAAACCATTTTCTAGATGGACTGCAGAAGAAAATAGAAAAGCTCAGTATAATGTTAGGGCTATGAATATAATTTCGTCTGCTTTAACCCTTAATGAGTTTTACAGGATATCTGTTTGCAAGAGTGCTCAAGAAATGTGAGAAATGTTAAGAGTAACCCATGAAGGTACCGATGATGTAAAAAGAGTACGGATGAACTCATTGATTCAAGAATATGAGATGTTCTGGATACAACAAGGAGAAACGATTTTTGATGTCCAAAAGCGTTTTATACATATTGTGAATCATCTCACAGGGCTTGGTAAGACTTTCGATACTGATGAATTAAATGTAAAAATTCTTAAATTTTTGGACAGGAAATGACAACCAAAGATGACTGCCAATATGGAGTCACAAAATCTTGTCACTATGACTATGGCGACTCTCTTTGGAAAGTTGAGAGAGCATGAACTTAAACTTGGAAGGCTAAACGATGAAGAAGGCCAACATCAAAAGAGAAACCTTGCCTTCAAAACCGAAATTTCAAAGAGTAAGAATAAGAAGGAGGAAGAAGATTCTAAAAATGAAGAAGTTGAAAACTTGAGTTTTATGATCAAGAAATTTACAAGGTTCATGAAAACTAAAGGGAAGCAAGCTTTCAAAGGTAAGGGAAAGGTAAAAGAAAGTTCTTCTTTAAGTTTTAAATGTTATGGTTGTGGTGAAACAAGACATGTAAAATCCGATTGTCCAAACTAGAAAAGTTATGATTATAAAGGCAAGAAATTTTTCAAAAAGAAAACTTATATAGCTTAGGATGATAGTGACTCAAGTTCGGAATCAAGTGATTCAGAGGTTGAAGCAAATCTTTGCTTGATGACAAATGATAATATTTCTTCCGATTGTGAGGTAAGTGATTTAGACTTTTCTTCAAATGATGATAATGACTATGATTCTTTGTATAATGCATATCAAGAACTATTTGCTGCTTTTAAAGATTTGAAAATTGAATATAAATCTTTGAGAATAAATCGGAAAAAGAAGTAGAATCTTTAAAATAAAAAATAGTGACTTTGGAAGAAAAAGGAAATAAACAAATAGAATGTGCATCATGTAAAAAATATGAACATGAAAGTGACATAATTTGACACTTACTTGATAAAGTTAAGAAAGAATTAAGTAACAATAGTAAGAATGAAGTTATTGTGCAATCTCAATTAAAATGTCATGTTCCATTAAAAGAGCCTAAAAATAGAACCCGAATGGTATGGGTTGAAAAATGATCTAAATCTTCTCAAAATAAAGTTGTATCTTTTTCAAGAATTAAATCTAATGCATGCTTTTATTGTATGAAACATGGACATACATCTAATAGGTGTAAAATTAAGCATTTTGGTGTTCCAAATGGAAAAAATGTTTGGGTTCCTATAGTTAAATGATTTACTTGTCTCTAACCCCAAGGACCCAAAAATTATGGGGACCTAAGATTATTATGTTCTTGTTTTGTAGGAAGCTTCCAAATCCAAGAAGTCTATGTGGTATCTTGACAGTGGGTGTTCAAGACATATGACTGGAGATAAAAAGAAATTTGTAAGTTTTAAAGCAAAAGAACAAGGATATGTAACCTATGGGGACAACAATAAAGGAATAATTTTTTAACCGAAAATATTGGTGGTGCAAATACTTTGGAGATAAAGGATGTGCTCCTTGTTGATGGGGCTAAAGCACAATCTCCTAAGTATAAGTCAACTTTGTGATAAATGATTTAAGGTAATCTTTGAAAGAAAGTTTTGCACTATTTATTTAAAGGATTATGAAAATATAGCATTAAAAGGTATTAGGCATAACAATATTTATTTGATTGACTTGGATTGTGTATCTAATACTAATATAACATGCTTAGTTGCTAAAGAAGAAAATTCATGGTTATGGCATAAGAAAGCGGCTCATATAAACATGGATCAATTAAACAAACTAATATCAAATGACTTAGTTATTGGTTTGCCTAAGCTAAAATTTGAAAAAGATAGATTATGTGATGCATGTCAAAAAGGTAAACAAGTGAAATCATCTTTTAAATCTAAGAATGTTATTTCCACATCAAAACCTTTATAAGTTTTACACTTAGATTTATTTGATCCATCTAGGATAAAAAGTTTTGATGGAAATTACAATGCTCTCTCTTGTAATTGTTGATGACTTCTCTAGATTTACTTGGAAATTTTTCTTAACATTGAAAAGTGAAGCTTTTAAAGATTTTAGAAAGTTTGCTAAGCAAATTCAAAATGAGAAAAACTTAAGAATTAAAGTGTTAAGGAGTGACCATGGTGCAGAATTCCAAAATGAATCTTTTGAAAATTATTGTGAAGAAAATGGAATTTTGCATAATTTTTCTGCACCTAGAACTCCCCAACAAAATGGAGTAGTGGAAAGGAAAAATAGGTCACTAGAGGAACTTGCTAGAACAATGTTAAATGAATCAAATGTTCCTCAATATTTTTGGGCTGATGCTATAAGTACTATATGTTATGTATGGAATATGATGCTTATTAGGCCAATCATAAAATTAACTC